CACAGTAAGAAATGAAATAGAAATGTAACGTTTCGAACTCTTCACGACTTCCTCTTCAGACGAATGAAAAAACGATTTTTTTTTTTTCATCTTTGTGTACACGTTACTGTGTTTGTGTTTATGTGTTTATGGAGAGAGAGAGAGAGAGAGAGAGAGAGAGAGAGAGAGAGAGAGAGAGAGAGAGAGAGAGACAGATAGAGATAGACAGACAGACAGGGACAGAGACAGAGACAGAAAGAAGAGAGAGAGAGAAAAAAAAACAATTATGTAAACTTCCACATTCCTTCTAGGAACGTCGGATCCAGTGTTGGCCCAGAATATCACAAGTCAATTGCAGTCGTTACTAGACGCCATGCGACAAGTACAAGGTATGTGGAGCTACGTATGGACAAATGAACAACAGTGCGAGATTCATAATGTATTTGGTGTTGCGTTACTGGAGCTTGACTAGCGATATTACAAAGCTGATGATGCTTATAGTGTAATAGAGTATATGCTTAGAAAGTACAAAACACATACTGTATATGAGTTTATGCTGGTTTTATTTACATAAATAACGCAACGTTGTGATCTTGAAGCACTGTAGAGTCATTCATTCATTCATATTTTTTACTACCGTTACGTACCTTTGTTGTTATGCATGGTTTAATTCACACTGTTAATAGTCGTTGGATACCTGTTCTTCCATCACAGTATGATTCTTTATGTTACATTTTACATTTTCGTAATTGTTTTATGCATAAGTAAATTTAAGCTTTTTTTTTATAGTGTTTAAAACCTTTTTGATTTGCCTCGGGGTATAGTTTACAAGGCTCTTCTAACTTAGCAGTATTTTACATATAATTTACATAATGATTTACTGTAATCAACTGTGCACGAATCTCTAATTAATCTGTAATTAACTTCAGGGACGGAAGAAGAAGTTAGACAGTCGGCGGTGCAGATTCTAAACCATCCTCTCATCCAACAAATTCTGATTTTCACGAGACTCGTCGATTTCCAGAACTTCAATGGTACTGTATTCCTGTGGTATTCTTCTGAGTTAGTATGTGTTGGAAATTTTATTTTTCGTTGTTTGTTTCTCTATCTCTCTTTCAATCTCTCTCTTTCTCTTTTCCTCCCTCCCTCTCCCCATCCTTCCTTCCTCCATCTCTCTCTCTCTCTCTCTCTATCTATCTCTTTTTTCCTCCCTCCCTCTCCCCTCCTTCCTCCCTCCATCTCTCTCTCTCTCTCTCTCTCTTTTCCTCCCTCCCTCTCCCTCCCTCCCTCCCTCTCTTTCTCCTCCTCTCTTTTATATTTAAAAGAGAGTAATTTACAATAAGTTGTCATAACAGGAACACGTTACACTGTCCTTATCTATATTAATGTTGTAATCTGCACTTTATTGTATTTTCATTATTTTTTTATAACCTGCATTTTGTCATATTTTCATTTATTTCCATAACCTGCACTTTTATCATGCATTTTCGTTCACTTTTATAACCTGCACTTTAGCATTCATTTTCGTTCACTTTCATAACCTGCACTTTTATCACTCATTTTCGTTCACTTTCATAACCTGCACTTTTATCACTCATTTTCGTTCATTTTTATAACCTGCACTTTATCATTCAGTTTCATTCACTTTCATAACCAGTATTCTGACATAATTTAATTTAATTTCATAACCTGCACTTTAACATACTTTCATTCATTTACATAACCTACACTTTATCATTCATTTTCGTTCACTTTTATAACCTGTACCTTTATCATTCATTTTCATTCACTTCCATAACCTGCACTTTAACATACTTTCACTCACTTTTATAACCTGCACTTTGACATAATTTGATTCAATTTCATAACCTGTGCTTTAACATACTTTCATTCATTAACATAACCTACACTTTATCATTCATTTTCGTTCACTTTAATACCCTGCACCTTAACCCATTGCCGCCGGGAAAAATGAACAAAAAATGGGGGAAATGCAGTACTCATTTTTTTCATTTTTGTGAAATATCTCTGCTAGTCCTGATTTCACCTTCCCTTGAATTGGCGGGAAAAAAACGTATTCTTGTGCTCTAAATATAGATGGTGTTATTTATAACAGCAAATTAGGATAACGTTAACTATTTTCGTAAATCGACGGAAAAGGTGAACGGGCGAGACAGGCAGTACTCGTAATTGGCTCATTGGATACTTAATACAAGTGTAGCCACCTATGTGTAAAAACAATCGAACAAGTCGACTCACAGTGGGCATGGCATGTACGTACATGCCATCCCCGGCGGCAATGGGGTAATGTACTTTCATTCACTTTCATAACCAGCACTTTACCCTCACGTACCCCTTCACTCCAACGCATCAGGGTCGTCGCTTCTGTTAACGAGCGCTGCCAGCGGCGTTGTGTCGTCCGTCCAGCTGATGCTCAGGGCCGGCGCCTTCGTCAACCTGCGCGACGAGAACGGTAAGTGTGGTATTTGGAGTTATGATTATTAAAGAAAAATAATAATGAGATAAAAATGATTTGACAAGGATTGTGGTACTTGAAGTGAAGAAGTTAAAAAAAAAAAAAAAGTAAATTGTTGTATTTGGAGTGAAGATGTTTATTAAAAAAAAAAAAAAAAAAAAAAAAAAAAGATTATCTAATTAGAATTGTGATATTTGAAGTGAAGCTGTTTATTAAATAATAATAATAATAATAATAATAATAATAATGTAATAACATTTAGTAAGATGTTCTTATCTGCGATAGTTGAAAAAAAGATACATGCATTAATAAAAAAAAGAAAAAAAATATACTTGAGAGATGTATGTTCTTATCTGTGAGATTGTGAGTGTAGTGTTAAGTACGTCAGATAGATCCAGGTGCAAATGCTTTTACGATGAAACTTGGTGGAAACATCTATCGTCAATTTAAAATATTTCAAATGTGAAAATGGTGTTTATGAACATTGTACACTAACGGATACCACGCAGAAGATCTTACATTAACGTACACCAGATAGATACAATCACAAAAACACTTTACATTAACGGTCTCTTCCCTACCTACAGGATGGACTCCGCTCATCTGGGCCGCGCGTAATAACCACAGTGAAGTTGTCAAGGTCCTACTCGAGGCTGGAGCTGACCCGAACATCGAGAACTGGAATTTTGGTGAATATGATGACTTTCTAATGCTCTCTCTCTCTCTCTCTCTCTATCTATCTATTTATCTGTATCTATATATCTACCTGTCCATTTATCGGTATATCCCTATTTCTATTTTTTTTCGCTCCCCCTCCCTCTCCCTTTCCCCCTCCCCACTCCCTCTCCCTCTCTCTTCCCCTGTCCCTGTCCCTCCCCCTCCCCCTGTCCATCCCCCTCCACCTGTCCCTGTCCCTCTCCTTCTCCCTTTCCCTCTCCCTTCTGTAATAAGATTTAGGAAAAAAATATTGCAGTTGTGATGATCGTCTTAAGAAAAATATATAGATAGAAATAAATAAACGATTGAATTCTTGCATGAATTCCATTTTCGGATTATATGTTTGGAATGAGAATTGAACACAATAACTTTGTTACTTTATAAACTATTACTTAAACTTTATACACTAAAAGTTAACCACTATATTCAAATGTCTTATTTTCTGCCCAGGTTATACATGGCCAGTATCCACACAAGATGATCTAATAATAAAATAAAAAAACAGATATGTAGGTTCTTATTCGACCTAGAACCACTGGTAAAATATATTACTTTACAGCAGGTGAACCATTGACAGTATTACCTTATGCAAATCAGATGAACCATTAATAAAAGCCCTTTATAAGCAACCACTGACAAAATTCCTCTATTTACAATAGGTGACGACGCCTTAGGATGGGCTGCCTATAACGGACACCCCACTATAGTGCAGGACCTCTTAAATGCAGGAGCCGATATAGGACATGTTGATGCCGATGGTGAGTTTAAATCGTGTTATACATTTATTAAGACCGGTATGAATATCGTTAATATAATAGTGGTATATGTTTTCGTTGTATTCTTTTTACATATTAATGTATAGAATATGAAAATTATTACATTTAAAGTCGTTAAAGATCTTAATGTAGACAATAGGATCTGTATTATACATGGATTCCTTTTCATGTTTTTCAACGTCTTAATGTACAGAAAATTAGTTATATTATATAAACAATATATACAAGTTATATTTTTATTTGTTTTCATTATTATTAATATTATTATTATTACATCTATCGCAACGAACAATTACAACCCTGGATCGAACACAATTAACGAAAATCTAAATCCTTGTGTACGCCACACGAACCACTGACAGTATTCATGTAAATTTTCTCTTTTTTTTTTTTTCATTTCAGGCGACACAGCGCTCCTGTTGGCTATAAGAGGAAACCATCTGGAAGTTACAAAAATTCTTCTCGACAGCGGGGCATTTATAAACGCCCAGAATAAGGATGGTTAGGAGATAATAAACGTTTTTGTTGACTGGACATGTTAGATGTGTTCAGTAGTTGCGTTGTTATGGATGATGGGGGGTGGGGGGAGGGAGAGAGGGAGAGAGGAGAGGAAAAGAGGGAGAGAGGAGAGGAAAAGAGGGAGAGAGAAGAGGAAAAGAGGGAGAGAGGAAGGGGAAAGGAGAGAGGGAGAAAGGAGGGGAAAAGAGGGAGAGAGGACGGGGAAAAGAGTGAGAGAGGAAGAGAGGAGGGGGAAAAGAGGGAGAGAGGAGAGGAAAAGAGGAAGAGAGGAGGGGAAAAGAGGGAGAAAGGATGGGGAAAGAGGGAGAGAGGAGGGGAAGAGGGAGAAAGGAGGGGGAGAGGGAGAAAGGAGGGGAAAAAGAGAGAGAGAGAGGGGGGGGGGCAGGAAGGAGAGAGATAGAATAACAGGGAGAGAAAAACGAGAGAGAGATGAGAACAGAAGACAAATGAGAGAGAGAGAAAAAAAAAAATAGAAGAAAGCAATAAAGAGATGAAATCAAACCGAGAGAGAAAGAGAAACCAAGAGAGTTGCAAATAAACAGCTAACGATACAGACAGAGAGAAAAAAAAAACACACACACGAAAATATCAACTTTTCTACAACGATTATTGCAACTTGCAGGCTGGAATGCAGTGATACAAGCAGCCTACATCAACAACATCGACTTACTACGACTAGCTATCCAAGCAGGAGGAAGTTTGAATACAAAAACGGCAAAATACGGTAGGTTGCAATCCGTTAAAAATTGCAGTTTGATGGTTGCATTTGTTGTGTCGTTTGAATCGTGTTTTGATTCTTCTCGAATGCACGCAAACTTACAGCAAGAAAATGTTTTTGATTATTCTATGAAGTGTATACGAAATTACAACAGTACACACACAGACACGCACGCACGCACGCACGCACGCACGCACGCACACACGCACACACGCACACACGCACACACACACACACACACACACACACACACACACACACACACACACACACACATACATATATATATAAATACACGCACACACAAATACATAAGGTTTTGAGTTAAACTTTCGATTTTTGATAATGAATTTCGAATATTACCCGCCCCCCCATCTTTATGCTGTTTTTTTTTTCATTTATTCAAGAATTATTTGGCTTATGTATATTTTTCTTCTTCTTTTCTTATCTAGTCTTTTCTTTTCTTTTTCTTGTTTTTATTTATGTATTTTTTTTTCTTTCAGGAGACACGGCGTTGATGTGGGCCACTTCGCTCGGCCACCTAGAGATCATGAGGGAACTTTTGGCCGCTGGAGCCGAGGTCGACCTTGAGAATAACGATAGTCTGTTTGTGTGGTTGTCTTTCCTTCTCTTTCTCTCGCCTCTGTGTCCCTCTTTCTCTGTTTTGTGTGTGTCTCTCTCTCCTCTCTCTCCTCTGTGCCTCGCTTTCTCTTTTCTCTGTGTCTCTTTCTCTCTCTGTCTCTCTTTCTCTGTTTTGTGTGTGTCTCTCTCTCCTCTCTCTCCTCTGTGCCTCGCTTTCTCTTTTCTCTGTGTCTCTTTCTCTCTCTGTCTCTCTTTCTCTGTTTTGTGTGTGTCTCTCTCTCCTCTCTCTCCTCTGTGCCTCGCTTTCTCTTTTCTCTGTGTCTCTTTCTTTCTCTCTCTGTGTCTCTCTTTCTTTCTTTCTGTGTGTCTCTCTTTCTTTCTTCTGAGGGTCTCTTTCTTTCTCTCTCTGTCTCTCTTTCTCTTTCTTTCTTATGTGTGTCTCTTTCTCTTTCTCTCTGTGTCTCTTTCTCTTTGTATCTTTTCTGTGTCTCTTTCTCTTTCTCCTCATTTATTGAATTAACCCTCATTATTTGTTTCTTTATCTATTTATTTACCTGTTTACTTTTTACCTGATTGTAAAAATAATAGTAATGATAATAATAATAATAATAATAATGATAATAATAATAATAACAATAATAATAATAATGATAATAATGATAATAATAATAATAATGATAATAATAATAGAACAAATAATAATGCAACAAAATATTAATGACCTTATTAACAATTACGTAACAAGCAACAACCACAACAACGGAATACAAAATGTGCTTTCCTTTCCTTCCCCCCCACCCCCCTCCTCCCCCCGCAGGATACACGTCCCTGTCAATGTCCATCACCCAGAATCAACCGGAAGCAGCCAAGATCCTACTGGCCTTTGGTGCAGACATCAACCAGAGAGCAAAGGATGGTAATTATAAAAGATAGGGATGGTATTTGGCTGATGTCAAGAATGGGTTGATATTTTGTTAATGATAAGGATTGGCTGGTATTTTGCTGATGATAAGAATTGGTTGATATTTTGCTGATGATAAGAAGGGTTGATATTTTTTTAATGACAAGGATTGGCTGGTATTTTGCTGATGAGAAGAATTGGTTGATATTTTGTTAATGATAAGGATTGGCTGACATTTTGTTAATGATAAGGATTGGTTGATATTTTTTTAATGACAAGGATTGGCTGGTATTTTGCTGATGACAAGAATGGGTTGATATTTTGTTAATGACAAGGATTGGCTGGTATTTTGCTAATGAGAAGGATTGACTGATATTTTGTTAATGACAAGGATTGGTTGGAATTTTGCTGATGACAAGAATGTGCTGATATTTTTCTAATGACAAGAATGGGCTGGTATTTTGCTAATTAATATCTCCCATCAGGTGACTCTGTGCTGATGGAAGCCGTGAACTTAGGTCGACAAGAGATGGTGGAAGTCCTTTTGCAACATTGTCCGGATATGAGTGTTGAGAACATCAACCGTAAGTCTAGATTCCCTTAAGTAACTCTTAGACAGTATCATAATAATTGATTTTTTTTTTCTCCATGAATTTAAACCTCTTTTTCTGGTTTATTATTTAGTTTTAACCCTTTTATTTATTTATTATTTTCAATTCGACTAAATAAAGTCAAATATTTGTTTAATTCTAAACAAGAATAAGATTATAAACTCTATGGATGGAACATTCTAGGCCATTTTAGTAAATGTAAAAAGAAAGAAAGAAAATATGCATATATAATCGAGAATGTATCTCCAGGTCTAAATAAGAGTATTAGAGACGATTTTAGATTAGATAAGACACACACACACACACACACACACACACACACACACACACACACACACACACACACACACACACACACACACTTGCTTCAATTTTGCGTTTCCTTTACCGAATAAATTGTATCTCGTAATGACCAATGTAATGAATAACCCACTTTCATTCCACAGGGAAGACTGTCTTCACCCTAGCTCGCCAAAGATTCAGTATTGAAATCAGGAATATGATAGACGGTAAGACTTGCTTGGTATTCATGCTACGATGCGTTAAATCCCCGGAAATAAATAACTGGCAACTTCAAGCTACTTGGATTCCGTCTAACCGTCTAAGTTATCATTTACTACTTAACTTTACATTTTTTTTTGTATTTACATTTAATGATTGTTTGTTGAAGTATGCTGCTTTTAACTTTTTTTTTTTTTTTTTTTTTTTTTTTGGTATATATATATATTTTTTTTTCCTCAAAACAAACTCAGAAATCGGAGTGTCCCAAAGTGCAGCTGAGTTGCCAGTTTGTTTTTTTCCTGCGATTGGACGGAGTATAGTAGCGTGTCATTTCTTCAACTTACCTTGATTGTATGATCTAATAAATGCAGAAGTATTATCATTTGCAGTTAGTATAATATTCGATATCAATTAAATTTCATATAGGAACGCAATACAATACAATAAAGTAGCTCTGAGTTTCGTTATAATTCCACGTGATTCCTCTCCAACATTGGACTGTCCGTCGCATTTCTCTTAATACTCTGTATGGTTTGTTATACATGCAGTAGTTTGTATTACTCAATTATGGATTACGTAGGATGCTATGTACTTAGAGTCTTGGACTTGCTCTTACATCTTTATTTGTTGCGTTATTTGCGATATAAACACCTGTAGTTTGTATTACTAAATGATAGACCGTTTAACTTTATCTGAGACCAGTCTCTTCCAACTGTGGTTTAGGTAAACACACGGTAGTCAATTCAATTCTTTATTGCTGGAGTTACAGAGGTGTGTCACGGTCAGAGTCAAGCCGATGAGTGTGTCTGTCGCTTAGTGAGTTTGAGTTTTGCGAAGTCTGGCTTCGCCCGGGCCTTCGGCTATGGCCCGGCCTGTGTCAGCTTTTTAGGGCTGACTCATTTTAATCTGTGAAACTCGACGCTTACCGTGGCGGTGGGATTGCCAAGAGGCGTTCCTGCTGCCACGGGGTAAGCGAATTGCAAAGTCTCTTTACCAGCACGGCGGCTGTTGTCGGCGGTTCTTGTCTCAGGAATTGTGTGTGAACACAATTCTCTAGGTAGTGTATAAGTGTGGCGTTCGGCTCGCCGCAATGCATGCAACACCTCGCTTCTCGGTCAAGGTTTTCAATTATCTGCCAAGTACAGTGGTAACCTAGGCGCATTCTGTGGAGAATGACTTCGGTACCTCTGTTCTTTAATTCAGAGAGTGCCAGAGGTTCATAGCCTGTCGCTTCTGAATACCATCTGGCCGAGTGGGAGGTTCTCGTTGTCTCTCTGTGAAGCTGCAGGAGGAAGGAGTTGGCGACACCAGTACACTTCCTCCGAAGTAAAGTACGGCTAGGTGGTAAGATCATGGGACTAGGGGGCATACCCCTGCCAGAGACTGCTAGTCTGTCAGCAAGTTCGTTTCCTCTGATCCCTATATGGCTTGGGACCCAGTTAAGGACAATTCTTCTACCCTGAGCCAATATTCTGTGTGCTAGGCACCCAGAATGATTCTGGCAGCTTCATTTTGGACTGTTTCCAATTTTTCTCTGTATTTTTGTTTTCTGCCAATTAAGGCGACTGAGGCATAATCCACAAGGGGCCTGACAGCATGTACATAGAAGGATCTGAGTACTTTGTGCCTGGCTCCTATGCGTTTCCCGGTCATTGCTCTCATGACGCTCAGTCTTGATTTGCAGCGGTCAACCAGGTACTCGGTCTCCTGTCGGAAGGAGAGGGTCCGGTCTACCCATACCCCAAGGTATTGGAACACCGGGACCCATTCCAAGTTTGCTCCCTGGATTCTCAGGCTTGTGCCTTGAACTCGTCTTCTCAGAGCCATGGCTTTAGATTTGGCTACTGAGATCTTGAGTCCTGTCCTGCAACACTCCTCAGACACTAGGTCCAGACAACGCTGGGCATTGTTAAGGCATTGTGTCCCGATGGAGGTGATGGCAAGATCGTCTGCATAAGAGATGATCTTGCATCCCCTTGGGAGGTTTAAGTTGAGGATACAGGACATGAGTACATTGAATAGGGTTGGACTCAGAACCCCACCCTGTGGTGTCCCATTTTCTAATGGCAAGTGCTGTGATAGGTGACCCTGGAACTTTACTCTGGCTCTTCTGTTCCTAAAGTAGTCACCTATCCAAGCCAGGAGCTTTCCTCGGATTCCCTTCTGGGCCAGGGACTCCTGAATAGCAAGGGGACTTGCTAGTTCGAAGGCCTTTTCCAGGTCAAGGAATATTACCACGGCTGAGGTGGTGCTGACTGTGCTCAAGAGCGTGGCGATGCTGTGTGCTGTGCTCATTCCCCTGGCGAACCCGTGCAGGTGTTCGTGTGGGGGTCCCATTTTCCACAGGAGCCGGTTCAGTACCATCCTCTCGGCCGTCTTGGCCAGACAGCTGAGGAGGGAGATGGGGCGGTAATTCCCCGGTTCCTTGGGTTTTGGGATGGGAACTATGGTAGCCCTCTTCCAGCTCTGCGGCAGAGAGGAGGATTCCCAGGATTTGTTGATGAGTTGCAGGAGTGCAAGCTCACCCTCTCGTCCTAGGCGGGAGATGATGGGATACGTGATCCCGTCGCAACCCGGGGCTGTGTTGGAACTGAATTTATATGCTTTTCGAAGTTCCCTCAGAGAAAAGATAACATCTGAGTTATCGGCTTCGGCTGCCCTTTCTCTGATCTGAGCAAGTCTGTCTGCTTTCAGGCTTTCTTGTTTGGCCCTCAGCTCGGCTGGTAGACTGTTGCTGCTTGTTCTGTCAGAGAACTCGAGCGCCAGTCTGTTTGCCTCTGCTTGGGGGTCGTGGTGCGTTCGTCTCGGGGCTGAGCGGCTGGTAGCTCGCCTGACCCGTTGCCACAGCTCTGAGAGGCTGGTATGCTGATCAAAGGATTCACACCATTCCAACCACTTTTCCTGCCTTACTCTGTTGGCAGTTTCCTTGGCATCCCCGACAGCCTCCCTCAGCAGTGCGAGGTTGTCGGGGGTTCTTTGCCTTCGGAACAGTCTTCGGCACATGTTCACCCTGTGGTTGACCTCCCTGATCTCGTCGTTATAGTACCAGGCGTCCTTGTGACGCCTAGACCCGAACCGAGTTTGGGGGATGGTCAGTGAGGCTGCCTGGTTTATGGCTTCTACCAGCCTGGCTTCCAGCACATCCACATTGTCGGCTGGTGTGGATTCATTGCCTCTCAGACAGTGGGCTAAGGCGTTCTGGAATGCATGCCAGTTGGCCTTTTCTGTCTTCCATCTTGGATTCGGTCGTGGGATTTCGATTGGGCCTGCGTCCATGAGTGTGGTTACCAAGCCATAATGGTCGCTTGTGACAGTCTCATCCACACACCAGCCAATCCTGTCAACCAGAGTCGCAGTGACCAGGGTGAGGTCTAGTACCCCACCGCCGACATGCGTTGGCTCTTGGTTGTTGAGGAGAGCGATCTCGGGGAACGTCTCAAGCACGTTGGCTATGTGATAACCTGCCGCATCCGGTCCCCTGCAGGGAGCTAGGATGGGATGATGTGCATTGAAGTCTCCCCCTATGACTACTCGGTCTTGTACAGCAGACGCACAGACCTGGCTGATGTCTAAGCTACTACAGCCTGGCCGGCTGTACACGTTGTACAGTTTAAGGGGGCCCCCGGCCAGTTGGATCTCTACGGCGAGAGATTCTGTCTCTTCTCCACAGTGCGGTGCATCGGCTATTGCGGAGCAGGGGATTGTTGCTTTCACAAGGGTGATCAGTCCTCTTTTGCCGGCAGTTTGAGGTAGCATAAATACGTGATACCCTGAGAAGCGAACATTATCCACCGTTAATGTCTCCTGGAGCATGACAACGTCAATGTTCCTTGACCGCACTACTGCTTGGAGCACGGCATTCCTTCCGGAAAAGCCACGTATGTTCCACTGTAGAATGCTTAGATTGTGTGCCATGATGTTACTAATCAATAGTTACATCTGAGACCCGGTCACAAGCCATACCCAACATCGCGAAGTCCTCTTCGGTTTCTTCGTCTGAAGTCAGGTTAACCTTGGGTCCACTGGGGGGTGGAGAGCCTTGGGTACTTTTGACTTTTGAAGCTTTGGCTTTTCGCTCAGACCTGTCTGCAGATCTTTTGGCTGGCCGCGCCGGGGCGGGCTCAGCACATTCGGCTTCGGCTTCTGCCTCTGCAGTTTCGGCCTGTTGTGCCTGGCTTGGAGCTGGGAGGGGAGTCTCATCCTGAACTGCAGGAGCTGGTTGTGCTCGGTCCTGCTTTCTGCCTTTCAGGATAGCGACAGTTTTGGTCATTGCCGTCATGGCCTTCTCCGCCTCTTCCCGTGTCCTCCCCAAGGCTGTCGCCACTGCTGTAACCACAGCAGTCACGAGGAGGGTCATGTCTGCCTCGTCGAAGAGATCGTCATCTCCCGACGAGGGCTTTGATGCCTTCTTAGAAGCTTTCTTCTTTGGCTTCTTCTTGGGCTTCGGCATCTCCGGAAACTCCGTTGTGTTGGAGACTTCCGGTGTCGGCTGTGGGGCGGCTTCCTTCCTCTTAGGAGGTTGGGGGGCCTTTTCACTTTTCTTCCTGCCCCACACATACGTGCCTGGGGGGGCAGGAATGAAATCTGGTCGCTTTTCAGCAACCTCTTGGCGCTTGAGGGCCGCCTGTTTCCTGACAGAGCAAGTCAGGCTCCAGGCGTGATGCCTCTTGGCACAGTTGGGACACTTGGCTGTTGTCTCCTTCTTTTCTCTGTGGGCCGTCAGGCACACCTCGGTGTTATGGGCCTTACTACAGACACCACATTTGGGCTTGGCTGTACAGTTAGCCTGGTGGTGTCCATATTTCTGGCACTTGAAACACCGAAGTGGTTCAGGCACAAACGTTCGAAGCTTAAAGGTGCCCCAGTTACCCAAGTCAAGGGTAGTGGTTGGGGCACCTTTAAGTGTAACCAGGACTTGCCTGGTTGGAGTCTTCCCTACTGTCATTCGGGAAGCCTCCACTACCTGAGGATGTGAAGTGATTAGCTCCACATCATAGGAGACTGGGAAGCCAAGTAACACCATCTTGCTTCTCTTCTCCTCGGGGGTCAATGGGGAAAGACTCACTTTTCTCCCATCTGCGAGTTCCCTGATTTCCCGAAGGAAGTTCAGGGGGGCACGATCTTTCGGCACTATGATCATGCCTTGGTCTCGGGCTACTCGGATTGAGAGCCGGAGGTTTCTGTGCCTCTCCAATGCTCTCACCAATTGGTAGGCATTGTCGAAGCCTTCTGGTTTGGCTGGGACCTTGAAATGGGTCAAGCGACTGTGGCTGGGTCCGGACTCTCCGTCAGAGTCCGTCTCCGGCCTTGGTCGCTTCTGTGAGCCCTGTCGGCTGGTGGGCTCGTTCGTGGGGGGAGCAGCTGCTGGTTCGGTTGGTCCAGCCTGTGCTCGCGCCCCTGTCAGGGAAGCCACCTGAGGGGGACTCAGAGGCTTCCCTGGCTTGGGTGCTGGTCTGGAGAGACCAGCACGAGAGTCCATCTCTTTCACTCTCTGATGGACTATTCCACCATCTGGAGCCATGTATGGCTCCAAGGTGGCTACCGTGGTCTGGGCATTGCGTGGTTCGTCAACATTTTTATCTAGTGGGGGTTTTTTATTTAATTTTTCCATGTATTGGTAAGTGCTTCATCCTCTCACGCCCCCACCCACCATGGAGTCCAACAAGGGGAAGCTGTGTGTCAGAGCCAGTGTCTGACAGCCACAGGGGTGATGAGAGGATATACGCAGCCAATAACCATTGTGGCGGCACTCACGGACCATTGTGAGTGCCAATGGAGGCATGACTGCTTGGCCCTAGCCTCCCGTGGGAGACCAGCCGATTGACCGTGACCGGGCCGGGATCAGGTCTCCTGTCTTGCTGGAATAGAGGACCAAAGAGGCGTGTTGCTAGCTGCAGGGCGTACTCATTCACGGCATCGCTCAGACTCCAGGACTCCCGTCTCCACAGCGCACGAGGCTGCCACGCACGGCAAACGCGTGGGTAGGTGTAAACCCCTGGGGAGAGACCAGAGGGGATGTCCTTTCACCTACGGGACATCATTGTTTGGAACCCTAGTGCTCGTCCCTCGGAGAGAGATGAGCCCTTTCACTTTTTCCGGCAGGTTCCTCTCATCCCTGTCAAGGGAGGAGAGGGCCTGAACCTTTTTCAAAGTGATTTCCTCCTTCCTCTGAAACAGCCAAAGCTTGTTTCACCACAGTGAGGAAGGAGGAGTCCTGCACCTTTACAGGGAAGCTCGTTCAGCCCTCCAGTGAGGGAGAGAAGCTGCCTTTCGAGGTGGTTCCAGTGGCGGGACAATATCGTTGTAGGAGCCGGTGTAGGTGTGAACCCCTGGGGAGAGACCAGAGGGGATGTTCTTCCACCTACTGAACATCATTGTTTGGAACCCTGTGCTCATCCCTCAGAAGCAATCACCCAATGGTTGCTTGCTTCTCCACAATGAGGGATGGAGCTCTTTCACTTTTTCCAGCTGTTTCCTCTCAACCCTGGGAGGGGAGAGGGGTTAAGCCTTTTTCAAAGTGAATTCCTCCTTCCTCTGAAACAGCCAGAGCTTGTTTACCACAGTGAGAAAGGAGGAGGCCTGCGCCTTTTCAAGGAAGCTTTTTCGCCCCTCAGAAGCAGCCAGTCAAGGCTGCTTCACCACATTGAGGGAGAGAAGCTAACTTTTTTCAAGGCGGTTCCAGTGGCGGCTAAATAAGGCAGTGTTCTGTCTAGCAGCAGCTATTTTGACAGAGCTAATGCCAAAGGGGAGGGGCTCCTACCTGCCTATCGCCCTAAACGAATTACTAGAATGGCAGTCATTAACATGGTCTGCCAGACCAGTCCCTAGCAAAAAGATTGGCAACTCTCTGTGCACCGTAAGGCAGGCACGCTAAGGCCCCCCAGACACACCCTCCCCTGCGGGAGGTAAAGGTCTGCCCACGTCCGAGCACGAGCCCGAAGATGGGGTCCAGTTCACCAGAAGGTGCACAGAGAGTCATCCTAATGCCGAAAAATCCGTAAAGGAAAGAGTAGGCTATAGGGCACGAAGTTAGATGCAAGCAAATAACTTCGTGGCAGCAACGAGGGCGGGCGCTGAGGCGCCCGGCAACACGTAGGAGCCGACCTGATGTTGCCGAGGGGTGGCTCCAATTGATCTCTTTAAAATCATCTCTTTAAAACACCCTCGGCAAAGTTCCGTCAATCAGGCATCACGGTGACCCCCTTTGTAGCCTTCGGCATGGCGTGGCTGCCACCCGCGGTACTCCGGGCATCATGGTGACCTTCTTGGCGTGTCGGCATGATGGTGCGGCCGTTTCGCGTTACGGCATCACGGTGGCTATCTTCGTGTTACCGGGCGGCCAAGTGCCACCTGCTGCGCCCCGTCGGTCTTCCTGGCCAGCACAATCCTCCCTTCACTCTGAAATAGCCAGGGGAGGCTACTTCAATGCAGGGAGAGAAGAGAGGAGGGTCCTTCCAAGTCGAATCCTGTGGCTGGGTCTGTCGCTTAGGACTCCGCGGCTTAAATGGGCCAGGCACGATGTTTACTCCCTGGTCAGGTCCGGAGAGGTATGCGGTGATTAGTGGTGGTGACTGGAACCTAACTCGCCAAACGGTGTGTGTCAGGTCCTACGGAGCGCCGAAGCTTGCCGCGGGCTGGTCACCACAGCACTCCCCTTCCAGTGTAGCGGTCGCGAAACGAACCTTCGAAATTGTGCACTGCTCCTGCAGGTGTGCAGGTTTCACGCGGTCGATGCAGACGGTGTCCTCCCCTCGTGGACGCCGGATGGTGATTGTCTTGCTGTCCCGCTTGATGACAGGGAAAGGACCCTCGTAGGGCGGGCACAGGGGGGGGCTTGGCGGGTCGTCTGACGAAGACGTGTGAGCAGTCGTGGAGGTCGCGTGGTAAGTAGATGTCCCGCTGCCGTGAAGGTCGGGTAGGACGAGCGCGAATACGGGCCATGCGGTCGCAAAGCTGCTTTCCGAAAGCTCCCGGGTCCTGATTTCCGGAGCTAACTATGAAGTCGGCAGGGAGGGCTATGGTGGTTCCGTAAACCATCTCAGCTGCGGTGCACTGAAGGTCCTGTTTGAAGGAGGTCCTTATGTTCAGGAGCGCCAAAGGCAACTGGTCCACCCATTGGCGCGTGGAGGATGAAGCTGTGAGAGTCTCCTTCAGGTGGCGGTGTAGGCGCTCTACCATGCCGTTGGCACTGGGGTGGTATGCCGTGGTCCGGATGCGCTTCGAGCCGAGAAGAATCATCAGTTGCCTCCAGAGCTCGGACTCGAACTGAGACCCGCGATCGGTCGTGACCGTCGCAGGAGCTCCGTAGCGCGATATCCAGGTGCTGATGAAGGTCTTGGCAATGGTCGCGGCGGTGATGTCCTGGATAGGGGTGGCCTCGGGCCACCTGGTGAATCGGTCGATCATCGTCAGGACGTAGGTGTAACCCTGATCGGCTGGGAGAGGGCCGACCACGTCCAGGTGTACATGTTCGAAGCGGCCGTCTGGTACCAGGAACACCTGTGGGGGAGCCTTAGTGTGTCGGTGAATCTTACTGCGCTGGCACTCGATGCAGGTGCGGCTCCACTCCCGGACATCTCTATTGATGCCCGGCCACACCACTTTGCTGCGGAGGAGATCCTGGGTTGCGCGAATTCCTCGATGTGCATGGTAAGCCTCGAAGAACTGCCGACGGAGTGAAGGGGGGATGTAAGGACGTGGGTGGCCCATCGAGGTGTCGCAGACGATGGTGTCCTGCGAGTCCTGAAGTTGCACCTGCTCCAGCTGAAGAGAGGTATCTCCATTGACAAGTCCGGGAAGAGAAGGGTCTTGTTGCTGTTCCCTGCGAACTAGGTGGTAGTCGATGGGGTTGTTGCTGGCACTTACCATTCCTATGGATACCCTGGACAGGGCATCTGCGGCTTTGTTGTTGATGCCTTGGATGTGCCGTATGTCCGTGGTGAATTGGGCCACGAAATCCAGGTGCCTCTCTTCGCGTGGGGACTGGCGGCGGCTCCTGTTGTGCAGGGCGAAGGTGAGGGGCTTGTGATCCGTCAGGATGTGGAATTCTTTCCCCTCGACATATGTCCTGAAGTGCTTGATGGCGCTGTAGACCGCAAGGAGTTCTTTGCCGAAGGCGCTGTAACGGCTTTGCTGTGGGCTGAGAGTCTGCGAAAAGAAAGTCACCACACAACAGACTTGGATAAGAAACTTTATTTATCATTATTTTCATATCATCTTTGATAATGGACCACTTTCAGTCACTTTTACGCTGTCTATGAGAACACATATTATTTTCAGATTGTAAGGTAACAAACCATACATAATTATGCTCATTAGCAGATAAGAAACCCAGGTATGATTACACATAATATTAATTTCATATCGTCAGGTAATAAGCCATATATAATTTATATATAATTATTTTCACATTATCAGATAACATACCCGTGTATAATTACTCACTAACATGCTCATAATTATTTTTATGGTCAGATCATAAACCAGTTTTTATTTATCTTAGATACTAGACCACGTATAATTATCTTGCTAATCATTTTGCAAATTGATACGTACACTAGCCCATGCATATTTTTTGTTCTCAGATTATTTCTAATGTTAAACCATTCATGATTATTTATCAAACTGTCTCAGCTACTAGACCACCCACTGATTACATCCATAATATCTAGACTTTCTCTCTCTCTCTCTCTCTCTCTCTCTTTCTATTTCTCTCACTCTCTCTCTCTCTCTCTCTCTCCCCCCCCCCTCTCTCTCTCTCTCTCTCTTTCTCTTTCTCTTTCTCTCTCTCTCTCTCACTCTCTCTCTCTCTCTCTCTCCACCTCTCTCTCTCTCTCTCTCTCTCTCTCTCTCTCTCTCTCTCTCTTTCTCTTTCTCTCACTCTCTCTCTCTCTCTTTCTGCATCCCCCCCCCTCTCTCTCTCACATTTTTCTTGACATTTCAGCTCACCAGGCAACCACATGCCTTGCCGACGGTCGCTCTTACATCCTGGGGAGCGTGAAATATGACAGCTGCCGCCAACAACAGTGCTGTAACAGTGTCTGGAGGTATACTGGCCTGGCCCTCGATTCCTGTGGTATGTTTTTTTTTAATTTTTTCTTTCCTTTTTTGTCTGTTTTATTCTTATATGATACATTATTTTAGCGAGGGGGTGGGGGTGTTTTGTATTTTGTTATTTTTGTCTTAGGGTGTGATGAGTTTTTTAGGGGGGGGGGGGAGTGAGGGTAAGTATTGAATTGTCATGTTGATTTTACATTATCATTGTCGTTCTTGTCATTATTGTTGTTGTTATTATCATTATCATTAATATCACCATCATTATCGCCATTACCTTTACTATTAATATCATCATCACCATTATTTGTTTAGTGATTAATAGATTAGTAGTTTAATAATGCATGTTCACGTTTGGAAACTTCTTTTGCTTCGTGTTATATATGCAGAGATAGCACAAAAGAGTAGTGGTATAAAGTTGTGGTTCTTCAACCCTTTTTCTACCATGCCACTAGGAATTTGTCCTTCCCTCCACGCCCCCCTTGCAGCTGTGAATAAGACCCCCCCTCAAAAAAAAAAAAAAAAAAAAAAAAAAAAAAATTAAACTTATGAGTCGACCATGCTCGATAAATTCTTTCTTTTTCCCAAGGGCTCACGCCCCCCCCCCCTCTGGATATTACTGACCCCCCCCTGGTTCAGAACCATTGGTATAAAGTAATCAGTTTGCTACTCACCCGCACACACACATACATATGTGAGTGCATGTATATTACCTTGTTTGTACACTTATACATACGTATGTTAATGTAGGTATATATATATCTTGTCTATGCACTCATACATATATATGTTGAGGTTAGTGTATGTTTATCTTGTTATAAATTCACATGGAGATCTGCATGATTGGTGTAAAACATGTCTATAAATATCAAGACAAAAAACATGTTTCTAAGCCTCTGGGCTAGTACAGTGGTAACGTGTCGGCCTCTCATCCGAGGGGTCGGCGGTTCGCGCCTCGCCCAGGCGCGAGAAGTTGCAATTGTCGCCTGGAGGTTACCGCTGTGGCTGGGCACCACGGTGGGTAAGAACTAAGCTCATCCGAGTCAGCACCTGCTGACACACTGTTGTGACATTAGTCGGCACAGCCCGGGCTCCCCCCATGGCCCGGACGAGCCGCAGCTTCGCATATCGGACTTAGCCTTAACACGTTTCTATCTCATCACCAGGTTCTCAGTGCAACACGCCAGGTACTCGCTTAGGCGCCTGTGTGTTAGTGAACGAGTGCGTGAGGCTGGAGCAGGTATTTCAAGTGACCAATGCAGCGGGGGATGTGGGCAGGACCACCAAGTTCCTCGTCGACCATCGGTGTGATACCAGGTGATTGCAGAGATACGTTATCTGAGTGGGGTGGTTTGATTGTTCTGTCTGTCTGTCTGTTTGGGTGTGTGTCTGGTTCTGCGTTCTATGTTTGTATGTCTGTCTCTTCTCTCTCTCTCTCTCTCTCTCTCTCTCTCTCTCTCTCTCTCTCTCCCTCTCTCTCTCTCTCTCTCTCTCTCTCTCTCTCTCTCTCTACCTTCCTCCTTCTCTCTCTATATATATATCCCTTCCTCCTTCTCTCCCTCTTTCAAACCACTCCGTTTTCACAATGGACACAATGCTCAAAGCTACCAATCTTTCTCAACTATAATAATGAAACAGTATATTGTCTTGTTGATAAGGAACATGTGATAAATCATGAATATATTTTCCACTGAATGATTAATTTCTATATGTTCTTTCTTTGACAGGGATGGAAATATTCACGTTTGCTGCCCGACATTATAAGGATAAAATGCATTAAAAAAATCACAACGAAACGTGAAAAAGAATCGCATTGGTGATTATGTTTTAAAAAAGTGTTTGTTATCATCACTGTTGCAAAATTTCTTGCATAAACAATCTTACCAACTTAATGTAGTATAAAACAACTTAGTTTATTTCCTTATTATTATCACTATTAATGTTCATGTGTAGTCATACAGTAATGGATATATCAGTAGTGGTCAGTAGTTATAACTACATTCAACATAACCTCAAGAAGAACAATTGCAGTAGTATAGCAATAAAGTGCACATCAATACTGATAACAAAAGCAATAATCTCAATACTTATGCATCTTTCCATTGTGAATCAATCTTAAGTTTCAATAGTGTAAAACTGACGCCCCAAATTAAAATAATAATCAATATTAAACACAAAAAGCGGGTTTGTCTATCCTTTGGTGGGATATTGTGTGTGCTTGTGGTTGTGTGTGATATTTGGTTTTATAACTATATTGGAATGTTTAATCGTATTGGTATTAGATTATGTAAGTTTGTGTTGAGTTAGATTTTCCTGAATTTCATGACTTGACTTGTATTACGCGATCACATTGCTGTAATAAATCCATTACAGTTGATAGAATACAGTTATCAAATATCTATTAAGTGAGTTATGTGCATAATTAGCTTGCGTATTATATTAAATAGATGAATTGAATATGTGTGTGCGTACGTGCGTATGTGTGTAGTAATCTTCCTACTAGCAGATTTATTGCTGTTTATGGCCCTGTAAATAACAAAGAAAATAAGAAAATCTTGAATTACTTTACCTTCCGATATTTTCCTCTTCATAAATTCTTATTACATTCTTATATGCTTACTATGCAATTTCTCCTTCTCTTCATTACTTTTCTTCAACAGGAACTTTTACATTACATATCGACAAAGATCCTAAAGAAGAAAAAAGTGCTAGTAATAATTGTAGTTGTAGTTGAAGTAGCATTAGTAGTAGCATTAGTAGACTCGTGGCCTTGAGAGTAACGTGATGCGTGTGTTAGATTAGGGTTATTGTAGATACAGGAAGTTAAACAAAGATATGTATACAGATAGATAGTTTGAGTGATTGATAGATATGTACGTGTGTGTGTGTGTGTGTGTGTGTGTGTGTGTGTGTGTGTGTGTGTGTGTGTGTGTGTGTGCGTGTGCGTGTGTATGTGCGTGTGCATGTGCGTGTGCGGGTGCATGTGCGTTTGCGTGTGTGTGTGTGCGTGTGAGCGTGCGTGCGTTTGTGTGCGTACAATATATGTAATAGAATACAGTAATGATCAAAAGCAACAATTACTTTCACCCCGACACTGCCACATGAACGAGAACAAGACACATAGTTACAATAATTCACTCTACTCCAATGCTTCGTTTAATATGTAAACACAAATAAATTATTGATAATGGAAACAATAACAAACTTACCTTGGCAGTGTAGAAGGCGAAGTTTGTAAATCAATTTCTCATTTACATAAGCCTACATTTACATAAAACCACAGCTAAGCATAATTTCTGGATTACTTGATTTAATCATACTTAGGAAAAGGAAAAATTGGCAACTCAATTCTGGAATAGTCCGATTTGGTTAAGTTAATTTGTAAAAAAAAAAAGGGGGGGGGAAGGGGGGGAAGGGGAGGAAAGAAGAAGTAAGAGAGGAGGGAGGGGAAGAGGAGGAGAAAAGAAGGAAGGAGGGGAAGAAGAGGAGGAAGATGAGGAGGGTATAAGTAAGAAGGGAAGGTAGAAAAGAGGAATAAAAGCAATTGAAAAAATTGCATATTCTAAATAGATACCAAACACGTGTGAATATAAGTATGCGTCAATTGATTCGAATATAAATAAAGAGCGAGCGAGCTGCCATTTTTCTTTTCTTTTTTTTTCTCTCTCTTTCTCTCTCTCTCTCTCTCTCTTTCCTTTTATTCCTTTACCTCTTCTCACCTCGCCCCTAAAACCTTCCCCACACCAAACCCTTCCCCCCCCCTCTCCCTCCTACTCCTCAAAACCTCCCCAACGAACACCAACACCGACGAAACCGTAGCCACAGCCAACGCGAAGAAGGGTCCGAACACCGCCTTCATCCCGACCGGTGCGTTCTGCAAAGAGCCGCAGTTCTTGGCTTCGGTGCTCCAGTCGCGCCACCACTTGCGGAGGAGGCCGGTCGACATGATGTCCATCACGCTGCGGGGAGGGAGAGGGAAGGAGGGAAGAGAGGAAGGGATGGAGGGAAGGAGGGAAGAGGGAGGAGGGAGAGAGAGAGAAGGGGGGAGGGAGAGAGAAGGAGGAAGGACGGAGGCAAGGAGGGAGGAGGGGGAAGGAGGGAGAGAGGAGGAAGGAGGGAGGGGAAGAGGGGGAGGGAGGGAAGGAAGGAGGGCTTGGAGGGGGAGGAAGTAGGGAAGGAAGGGGGAGGAAGGAGGGAGGATGAGGAAAAGAGGGAGGGAGGGAGGAAGAAGGGAAGGATGAGGAGAGGGAAGGAGGAAGGGGAGAGAAGGTGGAGGGAGGATGAGGAGAGGAGGAAGGGGAGAGGAGGGGGAGAAGGAGGTGGAGGGAGGAAGGGGAGGAGGAAGGAAGGAGGGAGGAAGGGGAGAGGAGGAAGTAGGGAGGAAGGAGAGAGGAGGGGGAGAAGGAGGTGGAGGGAGGAAGGGGAGAGGAGGGGGAGGGGAAGGTGGTGAGAGTAAGGAGGGAGGACGAGGAGAGTATGAGAGGGAAGGTGGGCGCATGAGGAGGGAGAGAGAGGGAAGGGTAAATGATGGGAAGAAGAGGAGGAGGAAAGGAGGGAAGAAGAGGAGGAGGAAAGGAGGGAGGGGTAAGTAAAGATGAAAAGAAAGGAGGAAGAGGAGAAAAGAAAGGAAGCAATCGGGTTAATTCAGATAAATAAGGAGAAAAGACTGTGATATGTTTCACATTGGTTAAATACTATAATATCTATCATTTATTGTCATTATCACCATCATTATTATCATAATTATCATCGTTATTACTGTTGCTTCTGTTGTCATTTTTCTATCATCTTTTATAATTATTATCCTCCTCCTCATCATCATCATCATAATTATCATTATGGTTCTTCTGGAAATATTTGCATGTAATAATAGCTCTCATGACTGGACTGTGTGCTCTGTATTTTCTGTACATTAATTTCAATGCTGCTCTCTATACAACACATTCAAACATGATCCCACGAGATGAAAATAACACAAATTTGGTAAATGGAATCGCTTCATTAATATTTTATACAGAGTGAATAGTTGCAGGCATAAGTGAACCGCAAGATTTTACACTTTGAAATCAACTTTTTTGTGACGCGTTCACAGAAAGCTACGTTTTTTAAATCTTGTTCAGGAAGCTACATTTTCTATAAAGCGGATGTAGGAAGCTACGTTTTTTGAACCTCAACTCTAGAATGTTCAATTTCCTGTATCGTGGGTACACAAAGCTGTGTTTTCTATAACTTCAGTGCAAACAGCTAAGCTCTATACTATTTCCCTTAGGCGCACAGAAAGTTGCGTTTTCTATAGTGTGTGTACAGGAAGCTCTTTACCTCAGATACAGAAAACTACATATATAACATGGATGTAAGAAATTTTCTATGCCACCTTAACAGAAAGTTGCTGTGGGTGTAAACAGCTCGTTTTCTTTATCTCAGTTGCATAAAGCTACATTTTTTATACCTCTGGTATAGGAAGCTATGTTTTCTTGCACCTGCAAACAGCTATATTTAGGAAGCTAGGTTTTTTTGCACTTCAAATAGAGAAAGCAACATTTTTTTTATAACACAGGTACAGAATACTACATTTTTCTACATTGCCAGTGCAAACACCTAAAATTTCTTCCTCTTAAACGCTGAAAACTACAATTTCTACACCGCGAGTGTAGTTTGTATTACTAAATGATAGACCGCATTCGAGTCGCGGTTCATTTTATCTTTTATATACATATTTACACACATATATTTATTTTTTCATTTATATGTATGCATAAATATGTATATATACGCATATATATATAACCACAACCATATATAGAAATATGTACATATATATGCGACTTGTGTGTGAGTGCGTGCGTGTGCGTTTGTACATACTCAATACAGATGTATGCATGCATATCCGTAGATATGAATAAGTAGTTGTACACATTAACGTTATAATGTAGCATGCATTCTTCTATAATTTACTTTTTTCTGCATTTTAGCATAATAAATTATCCATTGTCTATTATCCACACATTGTTGACTTTTCAGAAGGATTTCTCTATTTCTTCCACTTTTAGTACAAGGTAATATGGTTAAGGAAAGATGTTTTCACGTAAGAAATGTACATGTATTTCTAAATATTTACATACAGTATTAAATATCAGGTACCTATAAAAATAAATATTCTTGGAACAAGCCTTACAAAACGAAGAGATCAGTGTGGTCATCACGCCGCCGGCCGTCTCGATGCCCAGGGACAGCGGGGCCACGTCCAACAGCAGCAGGTCGTTCAGCTGCTCCGACTGGTCGCCGCGGAGGATGGCGCCCTGCACGGCCGCCCCGTACGCCACCGCCTCGTCCGGGTTGATCGATATACAATATACTGTATACAGACCATGTTGATGCTTGTACCAGCAGCGTTGCCGCCCACGCTAGCTACCTGCCGGCTTGGACGCTACCTAGCCTCGTTCCCCACGCCGCCCAGCCGCGGCTTGGAGGAATGCTACCTACCCTCGTTCCCCAAGCCAACGCTCGGATATGTAAGGCCTGCAGAGGATCCCCGAAAGCAGAGTGTGACGAGAGTGTTCTGTGCCGAGATGGGTCACGCCTGACCCCGCGGCCAGGTTGCCGTTGGTAGGGCTTCCCGTCTGACCTAGGCGCCCTCGCCTTAACCCAAGCCTTGTCATCTTGTGATTCAACCCCGTGTGTTAGCTCTATCAATAAAAGAGTTCTAGCCACTAAGCTTTTACTACTTCCCTGTCACCAATGTTTAAGAGGTGTTTATAGTAACCCTAACAATCGACTTGTTGAGCTCCTTTCCGCCGAAGAAATCCTGCAGCAGCTTCTGCACCCTGGGGATGCGCGTGGACCCGCCCACCACGCGGCTCTTGTCCCGCTTGGCGTCTCGGAGGGCCTACTCCACGGGGTCAGAATATCGTATAAAAATTATTCGATTATTTAATAGAATTATTCTAGTTCATATTTCCCTGTCTTATCAGACTAACAGCTTAAGATAGCACTCCCTCTTGAAAGAGAAGGGAGAAACTCTTTATAAAAATATGAGGAATGATACAAACAATTAGTTAGATTATTCTAATTTACTAACAAATAGGTAACCTATATATATTGTCCAATATATTAACTCCTGGAGATATATTAACTCCTGGAGATACCACACCTGCTCAACGAGCCGCT